GTCAATCAGCTCCTGAGTATGAATGGATTCTCGTCCGAGTGGTTGTTTCCGCCGTGTTGTCAGTGTGCGAACTACCACGAAACAAGTTATCTTTAATAAACGATGTACGATCTCAAGTTTGCCACAAAGATAGATATATCTTCCTTACTTTAAGTTACAGAAGTCAGGTGTTTAAAGTGAGAGGTAAGGAACACTAGCTTTCTACGTAATAATTTTAAAAATAGCGTACGAAGTCATATTACGAACTACTGAAATTAGTGACTCACGTGTGCGCTTCTCGCCGGCTGATTAAAGCTCCCTCCCAGAAATAAAATCTTTTACTCCTAGTTTTTCAGAAAGCAGATACATATTCTCAAAATTGCATGAGGTCAGTCGCCAGAACGGGTGGTTTTCAAGCTGTCTCTTAGCGCATAAAATGATCATTCGGTAACGCTGATCGAAGCACAATTAAAATTAGATTAGACTATCACATGACCACAACTCCTATGCTTATTTCTTGTATGTGGGTCACGCTAACCGAAGCACATTTGTGACCCAGTATATTGTTATGCCTTTATAAGATTTGGCTTCATCACATGACCACGACTCAAACTGATGCATTATTTATAGTATGTGGGTCACGCTAAATGAGGCACATTTGCGACGACCCAATATATTGTTATGCCTTTAAGATTTGACTTTATCTCATGACAAAACTCAAACTGCTGCATTATTTACAATATATAGGTCACGCACCTACAATTTGAGACACCTCAAACACTTCTCGAAAGATTATCAAAACCGAACTTCTCTGTAGTCGGTACGTCTCCAGAACAAGATTTTCAAGTTGTCTCTACGCACATGAATTGATTTCACGGTAATGCAAACCAAAGCACATTTGTGGCTCTTCATTAGTTATTCCTATTAGAGTTGACTCAATCACATGACCACAACTCAAACTACTGCATTAATTACAGTATCTGGGTCACGCACCCACAATTCGAGATATACCTCAAACACTTCTCTGAAGATTATCAAAACCGAACTTTTCTGTGGTCGGTACGTCTCCAGAGCAAGAGATTTTCAAGTTGTCTCTAAGCACATGAACTGATTTTACAGTAATGCAAACCGAAGCAATTTGGTGGCCCATTATAATTTATGCCTTTAAGAACTGGCTCAATCACATGACCGCAGCTCAAATTTCTGCACTATTTACAGTATGTAGGTTACGTACCTGCAATTCGAGACATACCTCAACTACTTCACCGAAGATTATCAAAACCGAACTTTTCCATGGTCGGTAGGTCTCCAAGTTGTCTCTATGCACATGAACTACTTTTACGGTAATGCAAACCGAAGCAGATTCTTGGCCCATCATAATTTATGCCTATAAGAGTTGACTCAACCCCATGACCACAACTCAAAATTCTGCATTAATTATTAACGGTATCTGGGTCACGCACCCACACTCGAGACATATACCTCAAACACTTCTCTGAAGATTATCAAAACCGAAGGCTGGTTTGGCCAGCCGAAATATAGTGCTCCGTCTTAAAATTTACTTATCTAAGTTGTATCGGTCTTGCCTCTATATTTATATTTCATATTCGTTATTTTGGGCCGATCAGATCATCGCTGATCCAACGTACAAGAGTAGGAGTATCGTCCACGGTTGGCTGCTGAACATTTCACAGCTATTTCTACTGCACTCATCATTATTCACAAATCCCTTCCCGTTCACTGTTGACTAAAAGTTCATGGAATCACCGTGATACGACATTGTTTCAGAGGAAGGGGGGGAAGGAGGCGAATCATAACTCAAAGAGACTAAACGTGTAAAATTGAAGTAATACTTGGGTTGAAAAGATCAAGGTGTCAACCATTTTGTCGCCGATTGTACGTCTAGTTAACAGCCATGTTCAGACATCTCAAGTTCAACATAGTATAGTGGAACCTGTATTTGGCGATCACCAATGGGAATGGCCTCAGAAACAGATTGACCGCTTGATGCAGGTTCCATGCATGTTCCGCTTGATGCAGGTTCCATGCAGGTTCCAGGGATGCTATAATGAACGATAAAAATGCTATAAATCTGGAATAAATTTGACTTGAACGATTATTCTTAGTTGTAATTGAGTGGCTTCGCTCTTAGCGACCGTTCAATACAGTTAGAAGAGAGTACAAAAATTGAAACCCAATGAAGACTCAATACAAGTTCCACCGTACATCCTTCAACATGTCGTAAATATGTGATGTTAGCTGTAAACAACCTAAAGGGACTACCACATAAAGTCCACTTCGTTAAATTTTAACAACACAGATCACAATGATCATCTCCAAAGATCAGGTCAACCTGGATTGCTGGCTTTAAGGGGTATTATAAAAAACGATAAATAACGCCACTTTGTGCCACAAATAACCAATTAATGCACAGAATCTCGTTCGAAATACAACTTACTTTGATTTTGAAATGTTATGTCAAAGGTATGCGGTGAACAACGTGGGATCAAGCGTGCGAGGTTAAATATTGAGCGAAATTTGTGAAAATTAATTAATTTTCGAAAATATTTATGGGGTGTACAAAGTTTTTGGAAGTTGTTCTGTAAAAGAAAAAGCGGCAAGGATAACAACCCTACGAAGCAACTGAATAGTAAATCTACCATGCGAACGACTCAAACTCCGTTTATTCGCCGGGCGCCAAAACCTAGCGCTTGCGCATGCGTTATTCATTCGGCTCTGTCGGAGAAACATGGATTACAAAATTACTTAAAAAATTACTTTCAATTTTATTTGAGTGATTTCGCTTTCAGTGACGCTTTAATACAGGTGGAGGACAATGAAAACAAGATAATTTAGTTTTATCCGAGTTGATAATGTAAATTGGCCCCCGCAAAGCATTTAAAGTCCGACGTTTTGTGCGTGACCCCCTCGTCAAAGCTAAATAGCCCTTCGTGACCGCTTAATATAGGTGACTTTGACAACTGACCGCTTAATAAGTTGCCGCTTAAGGTTCGACTGTGTTATCAGAATTTAATAGTTTTATTGCGTTGCGGTCATCCATACGTGAAGTACATTTCCTTCTATAGTATAACAATTTTCACAATTTTCACGATAAACCAGTATTCCAGAACTCTTTTTAATACCAGGTACAATCGTCAGATTTACTTGACAAAATAGCATTACTCCAGCGTTATTTACATTACTACTACCTCTGAATGGCCCGAAGTGATCAGTGTGTAACCTCTCCTTATATCAAAAATACATTATCCTTGAAACAGAAGAAGGGGATAGACAAAATTATCTGAACTTAAATTAAGCTACACCTTAATGAAAGAACAAATTAAAAATTTACAAGGAAATCTTTTATAGCTAGAAGAGAGAATTGCGAACCAGATCACTCAGTCAGCCATCTTCAAAATTTCCAGCTCTCACCCTGGATATTCTTCCTTCGATAAATTGCGGTTGTTCAGCGTGGGATCCGACGTATTTGTAAAACTGTTTGTCATCCAGCGGATACAGAGCATCACTGCCAATTCATTCTCGATTGAGAAACCCTATGAATAGCATTGTTAATTTACTAGGCCGCAGGAAGCCCGTTTTCATTGTACAAAAATCATCAATTGCCAAGACTAGTTTCCGACATTTTTACGCATGTAGGGTGTTAGTTTTTGTGCTATATCATTTCTTCCGATCTCTTTTAGCATTCTTACAAGACATCGAACAGGATGGTTGGGGTACTTAGTTTGGAACTGGCTCATCAGCAGCTTAGAGGGGTTTCCACCTTCACTTTTTAACTCCTTTTTCAAGGAGTTTCGCACTTCCAGGGAAATAAGTTTGTATTTGGCAGCCAAGCGCTCGAAGTCACGCCGGAAAATTAATCTTTCGTTGTCAAGACGAGTGCAAACCCAATCGAACAACTCCAGGTTGTCTCTTTCCAGATCCTCCAGAGTTAAATCATCTACAAAGAGATACAAAATTTATCAAACTGATGAAAGCTCACACAATTATAGATTAAGACCGCGTTCGCATTATATACGAGGAGCAGTACTTGGAACAGAACAAAGAAATTATGATAGAAACAATTAGTGGTTTATTCAAACAGTCAGTCTCGGTTGATATAGGGGCTCACCGGGCCTGAGTTCCTCTCGACACAAAGTTTGCTTCAGCTCGAGTTGTGCCAATGGAACCTCGACTGAATTCTCTGAATTTGCCCTCCTGAAGAAACGAAGCCTGCGGAACCCACCATGACGAATCATCGCGGTAATTAAAACAAACATAAATACGATTCCCAACGCTCCGCCTACTGCGGAAAGAACTAGGAGTACTTCATTTCCACTCTCCTCCTTTAGAGACTCCACTAATCTGGTGGTGCAAGAATCACAGGAAAGTCCAGGGTGAATGGTGAAACTTCTGCCTGTCTGAAAGCTGAGAAATTATTTAGATTCAACAAAGAAATTCTGACGGAGGTCGCATCTTTTCCTATCGCATTTAAAGCAGTTACTGTTATGAGGACCACTTTCATAAACGGCTGCCGGATTAATATTCTTTTGTCTAAATTCAAATTAGCCCTACTGGCCTCGTTCTCCAGTAAAAAATTCAAAAGAATACAGTATCTCATGCGAGGCCAGAAGGGCTAATTTAAATTTAAACAAAATAATATTAATTCGGCAGCCATTTATGAAAGTGGTCTATGGTTTGTCTCTCGCTAGCAGTTTTAAAACGAGATGGTGCTTACAATTCTTTGAGATTTTTCGATCGATTTTAAAACATAAAAAGTTAGAAAATGTGTTATGTCTACTGCATGGGGCTATATTTCTAAGCCTTACTAGATTAATTACAAAAATATTGTTAATTACCTTCTTCGGAATTGGAGAGAGTAGTTTCTCTTCTCATCCTGCCAAAGTTCAGTCATCAGAAAACAATCCTACGAACACATCGCCAGAAATCGAGGACATTTTGCTCCCGCATTCATTGGTCAGCGGATTGCAGTCGGATGAAAACAAAGATGGCTGTCAAGACAAATTCAATATAAAATATTGAACGATTTAAGTTCTGTGGACCTTCTTTATAGAGAAAAAAGCAAAAGAAAAACAATTTTGAACTGATCTCTTGGTACTTTTAAGGCAAAGCGACTTATAGCAATTTGCTGTCTGATGTAATGCAAGGGACACTCTGTACCAAGCTTCAATGTCCACTCAAACTCGCTTTATTTGTAATCGTCTAAGATGTCAGTCATTTTGGAAATTGTAGCTTAAACCACTTGCATTAAATAATGGAAGATCTAGGCAAATCGTACTTGAAAAGAGCTTTTTCTCCCAGTTGAAAACACAGTTCAACGAACGTACTAATACAGATCTCTCTGATCTGCTTCTTAATTTTCGCGCGAGAAAATTTTTATTCAAGGCTCTACTTTAGTATGAGGGGGTCTGAATTGAGTTTATTTCCCGTCAAACATTGCTGAATTAGAAAAACAAATATGGCGACAGTTTTGAAGGTTTCGCGGAGGGTTTTTCTTTTAACTCTTTTCCTTCTGGTGCGTCCTCAAGGATGGTCTCAGATCACAGACTCCACAGAGCAAAAATAGCAATTTTCAAGCTCTTTTGGAAGTGTCTTATTGTCAAGAAATGTCTCTTTTTATGGACGATTTGCTTACTTCGAACTTCCCTTTATTTAATCGGAGTCGGAGCTAGTTGACTCCTAGGAGGGTTGCTTCTCAAATCGGCGATCCTTTGCCATGGATTACGCTTTATTTGAAACAGACTAGAGGTAATGGCTAGCCTCTAATATCGAACATTGCTGACTTCGCTGGAAGTAAGTAGACAAACAGCTTTTGAATTATTTTTATGTTAGAAGTACAGCTTAATCTCTACTGAACATGTTTCGAGTCAGAGCTAAGGAGTAATCTTATTCGTATTTGTGGTATTTTGTATTTTTCTGGAAATCCCATACATTTCCTTACACGATTTCGCCGCCATTAACTTCTCAATACGCACGCGCGTCCGGCATTTTGACCCAAATTTCTGGCAATGAATATGTAGTAGCAAGTTTTAGCGAGTGATTACATTTGTTGAGTAAAAATGTAAAACAAACTGAAGCCCTCTATCGACTTTTAACAGTCTTCTGCAGTCTTCTGTAACCCACCCGTAGGAAGAAAAAAACCTTCACAATCACATGATCGCATCAGATGTTACTAATCTAGGTCTATAGCTGTAGCATAAATATTGCCTTTTTCTAAAAGACTCGGCGAAGATAATTTGACCATATTGAAATACACTTAGGGAAAGTAACGATTGATGTACGAACGGACCATAATATGTAGCTAACATGACAGACGTTATTATAGTATTCTGCAATGAAACCCATCGTGTCCTACTTGTAACAAAACTCCTAAAAGGCTTTGCACTCAAAGTAAAACATCCACTCAGTTCTGAAATTGACATTACATAATAGAGTTCTCTTCCCCGTGAACGGCTTTCTCTACGTATTTGAACCGATTTTACGTAGTGCTTACTAAAGTAGACTTGCGATTAACTCAGTCTCAGTCTCTCTCCTGGCTCGGTCAATGCAAGTGATTCGTGACCACAAATCAAACTGCTGCATATTTTAAGAATCTGGCTCACGCAATCATCCTCCAGCATAATATACTTCTAGCACCTTACTCAAGATTTGCTTTAACTGATGACTTTTTTGGTAGCCCGTAAATCATTTATACCTAGGTTAAAGCATCAGCAGAAGTATGAACTCTTTGCTAAAGTTTAGTTCAACAAATATATCAGATCAGAAGTTTCTAGGGGCTGAATTACGTTCAATTAATTACCATACAACGAGATTGTACACGATATACATTGAACGATTGCGTGAAAAACATCACAATCACGTAATCACAACAAACGTGACAATTACATAGCTGCAATGCAGATAGAAAATATTATCTCTTTCCTTAAGACTGCGAAGATAACTTGACTATGAGGAAATAAATTTTACAGAGAGGAACGACTGATGTACAAAAGGACCATATGTAAAGCCGAAATGACAAACACTATCATGGTAATATGAACTAAAGAACCAATGTGTCAAAACTACACTGAATAGGACAATAGATCAAAAGGATACTCTTTCGATAAGAACAGTTTTCGTTGACTCTCTTGGTCGATTTATAAAAGCATACATTTCAACCGAATACGTGTTGTTGTTATTACATAGAGTGTAATAAGTCCCCACCGGTTCGCCTGCGAACAGGCTTCCCATTCAATCACACGTGCCGGGAGCCTGTTCGCAGGCTACCCACCGGTAAGTATACTGAATGATATACTTCAGAGCTTAAGGTGGTAACATATTCCTCGTTCTTGTGCCCAATGGTAAAAAGTAGTTGGTTAGTACTGTTGTCAGGGCGCCAACAGGGGCGATAAGTGAGTTACAGTCTCAAGTTTGCCTGACCGATGAAAATAAGATTAAGAGATTAAATATCTTATACTTCAAGTCTTTCATGTGAGTTGTTTTTGACAAGTAAAAAAACCAGCAATACTGCATGGGCGGTCAGTATTCACGATTAAAACTTTAAAATTTTGGATCTGACCTCAAAACACTGAAATAGCATAAGAAATTAATTATTCACGTTGTCATTTTACCGAAGATTTAGCTTTCATACCTTTTTTAGCGGTATTGGGTCAGATCCAACATTTTAAAGTTTTAAAAAAACCATCAAGGTCCGACTATTAACAGACCGATATCACTTTGGTCGGTAAGTCTTCAGGCCACACGATTTTAAGTAGTTGGCACGTCCGCGAATGGATCCTACGGTAGTGCAAACCGAGACAGATTTGTGACTTTCTCAGTTGCTGCTTGAATTTATGCCTCAATCACATGACCACCAATCAAACTAAACATAATTACAGCATCTGGCTCACGCATTCACTCTCAGAAATACATCTACATTTTGAACGTTTTGGCAGCGTTAGTCATTTACACTCAGGTGTAAATGATAATGGTCAACTAAATGTAAATGTAAATTTATCGCTGAAAAGATGAGTAGTTTCTAGGGGCCGAATAAAGATTGTGGACATTATTCATCAGCAAAGTTTTGCGAACGATAGCATGGTCAAATGCTAATCCGCTTCAATTTAAATCTTGATTTGATTCAGTATAGAGGATAACAAACCGATGCCCTTTGTCGAAATTCATCAGTTTATTGTGACCCACCAGTATGAAAAAAAAAATCCCTCTCAATCACGTGATCATAACAGACGTGACAAATCTATAGCTGAAATTGTGGCCATTTTTTTTTTAAGATAACATCAAAATTTTTGCTAGCTTATGTGCCGAAGTTTTCGGAAAATCACTCTTGTGTGACATAATCCATCGCAGCTTTTTTGTCTCCTTGTATTTGAATTGATTTTACGGTAGTGCTTATCGACGCAGATTTGCAAATGACTCAGTTGCTGCTTAAATTTATGAATATGGCTCAATCACATGACCGCCAATCAAACTTTAACATTATTATAGTATCCGGCCCAAGCACTCACTCTCCAAAATACACCTCAAGTTCCCGTTGAAATTATTGGGATGTTACTTTCTCGCTGTTCATGTTTTGACTTGACTGTTTTATACCTAATCGCCGACTTGAGTCGACTGTAGAATGTTAGCGCAGAGTTATTTATAATTGCATCGGAAATGGTAGATGACTTTCAATCAATAGAATTAGCTATGACATAACCAAAGTATAGCACGCTCTGATTGGTCAATTCAGTGTCCACCATTTGCCGATGAGTGTACGCTGCCGACGTCAGCAAATGCAAAGACTAGTTTCCACGCGCTTATTTTTTTCACGTCGGGTAAGATTTCAGTACGTATTAGATAAAAGGGAACTCTTTTGCTACAATGTATTAAAGTCATATTGTAAAAAAATGGTAAACACTTCAGTGTATACTAATGCATGTATATAGCGAACGGTACTGGTATACTAATATTGAAGTTTTTGGTTGCCTGTTAATAATTATACCCAGGTTAAAGCAACAGCCCGGAAAAGTCAATTCTGCTAAAGCTAAATTCAATGAATTTATTGTTGAACGTACATTTGAATAGTTTCTAGGGGCTGAATTGAGCTCAATTGCCAAGCAACAAACCTGTGGACAATGTTTCGCAAACGATAGCGAGGTGAATTGCTGATCCGTTGCAATTTAAGTCTTTTATTTGATTCAGTAAAGAAGAAAAATAAAACTGAAGCCCCTCACTGAAATTCAACAGTCCACTATCTCTCACCAAAATGGACAAAAAAGCCCTCTCAATCACGTGATCGCAACAAATGTGGTGCATTGCTAATAGCTAGTGTTGACTTTCCGCTCTATAAGACTGCGAAGATAATTTGACAATGAGAAAATACATTTACAGAAAGTAATGATTAATGTACAAATGAACCACGATGTAAATTTGGAATGACAAATACTACTATAGTACTTTATTCTAAATTGACGAGCCATCGTATCCTACTTAGCTCGTGACAAAACTGAGGAAGACCTGGAAGGTTTCGTGGCGAAGTAATGGACGATCAATATGTAATGAAACATCCACTCTGATTCACTGATATTGACAATAGATAAAAGGATTCCCTTTTGCTAAAAACGATGTACATTGACCGTCTTAGCTGATAAATAAAAGCATGAATTAAAACCAAACGCTCGCTGTAGAAACCCGCACACAGAATGAACGGTGTTTGCAAGGAAGCAAACCGGAAACACTATTTATGTATGTTTACCCGGTACGCTGGAGTAGTTCTCAGATATACCACAAATCGTGTTGTGCCAACATGTGCCAATGCCTTTCTAAGATGTGCCCTAAAGGAGTTGTTTCAACAATGTTGCCGGGGCGCAAATCGTGACAATAAATGATTTACTACCGCAAGTTTGCTTAACCGGCGATGAAAATAACATAAAGAGATAAAGTTTCCCTTCCCTAAAATCTTTGGATGTTAGCTGTTTATGTCGAATGGAAAACCATCAAGGTCTGAACATTAACAGACTGTTCCTCTGTGGTCGGCAGGACTCTAGGCCGAACGATTTTCAAGCCAGTCTGTACGTATATGAATAGATCTTAAGGTTGTGCTAACCGAGATAGATTTGTGACTCCCTCAATTACAGATTAAATTTATTCATAATGCTCAATCACGTGACCACAAAACAGACTGACTCATGCACTCACACTCCGAAATACACCTCAACCACCTCACTGTATAAAGTAAGACTCAGTAGGGAGGGGGCGTCTCCAAGGTAAATCACTGCCAGTAAAACGTCACAAACCATTTCAATATGGCTGGCAAGTTTGATATTCGTTGACTTCTACGAAATTAGAATTTTAAACGATTTGGATATTTGATTACAGCATTTTGAGATATTTAAGATTCGGACAGTATCAAAGAGTCCTTTTTAGCAGTTTAAATGAGGATAAACAGTTCAAACGTTTTATATATATTTCGAATGAAAACATAATCGGGTCGTATTTGAATGGATTTTACGGTAGTACTTGCCAAAGCAGATTAGCAACTGACTCAGTTGCTAATTAAATTTATGCATAAGGCTCAATCATACGACTGCCAATAAAACTGCAGGATCATTATACATTATCTGGCTCAAGCACCCAATCTCCAACATACACCTCCAATACCCGCTGAAATTACTGGGATTTTAATTTTCTCGGTACAGGCAAATGTTTATACTAATCGCCGACCTGAAGTGACTGTGAAATGTAGGCGTAGAGTAACTTATAATTACATAGGAAGTGGAAGATGAAGTTCAGTAAATAGGAGAAGGTTTAAGGCAATACGTGAGTGGTTTTATTTTAATCTTCGAAGGACTCGTGCTTGTAAGTTTAGAGTAAAACATTATGAAATCCAGAAAAGGGATTATATATAGTTAAAAGAGATCGTAAACCTTCTGAGTGTGGTGTGTGGGTATATAGCGGACGGGATTGGTATTAATATTGAGGTTTTTGGTAGCCTGTTAAAGAAACAGCCCAGTAAAACAACTTTACTAAACCGTAGTTCAATTAATTTGCGGTTAAACGTACAGCTGAGTAGTTTCAAGGGGCTGAATTAAGCTCATACAACCAGCCTATGGACAGTATTAGTTTACGTTTTCAACTTTCGCAGACAATTGCGTGGTGAAATGCTAATCCGATACGATTTAAGTCTTGTATTTGATTCAGTAAAAAAAAAAAATAATAACTAAATTGAAGCCCTAATTGAAATTCAACAGTCTACTCTGACTCACCAGCTCAGACTAAAAAAAAAAAACCCTCTCGATCACGTGATCGCAACAAATTTTTCAAATCTAGTCTGCAGCATTAATAGACAATATTGACTTTTTCTATGAAACGGCGAAGATAATTTGACAACGTGGATATACATTTACAGGAAGCAACCATTAATGTACAAATGGCACACGATATAAATCTGGAATGACAAATACTATTATAGAACTGTATTCTAAATTGACGCACCAACGTGTTCTTCTTACCTTGTAAGACCGCGTGACACCTGGAGGGTTTCGTAGCGAAGGAATATGGATGATAAATATGAAATAAAACATTCGCTCAGCACTGACATTGACAACAGATAAAATGATTTTCTTTTGATAAGAACTGTGTGCGTTGACTGTCTTACCTGACTTATAAAAGCATAAATTAAAACCAAATACACAGTGTAGAAAGCAATACAGAATGAGCGGCTTTGGCAAGAAAGAAAACCGGAACTACTTTTTGCGTAAGTTTACCCGGTGTGCTGGAGCGATTTGAAGATATACCACAAATCGTACGGTGCTAACATATGTCGATGCCTTTCCAAGGTCTTGCGTCTCATCTGAAATGCTCTTAAGTAGTTGTTTTGATAATGTCGTCCGGGGGCAAAAAGTGAAAATGAATTATTTTCGATCTCAAGTTTGCTTAACGATGAAAATAACATTTCCCTCACCTGAAGTCTTTGGGTGTTACAGTTTGCTGGTTATGGCAAATGGAAAACCTTCATGGCCTGAACATTGACAGACTTGTTTCTCTGTAGCCGTAGGTCTCTGGCCGACCCGATTTGCAAGCAGTCTGTAACAATATGAATTGATCGCACTGAAGTGCTAACCGAAGCAGATTTGTGACTCACTCAGTAGCTGTTTCAATGTATGCATATTACTCAATCACGTGACCACAGATCAAACTGCAGCGTAATTATAGGATCTGACTCATGCACTCACACTCCGAAATACACCTCAACCACCTCACTGTAGATTGGTAATAATACTGAACTTTCGGGTAGCCTGGTAAAAGCATCAGCGTAATAACATTCCTTGCAAAAGTTAATTTCAGCAAATGTACTGTTAAACAGGGAGTAGTTGCTGACAATTCTTAATTTTCTCTAAAGGATGAAAATATTAACTATGATAAAATGAAGAGACTAAGTGACCCTAACCTCCAGTCCTTAGATGTTGGCTGGTTTTCACGAAAGGAAAACCATCAAGGTCTGAACATTAACAGACCTGTTTCTCTGCAGTCGGTTGATCTCTAGCCTTCAGAATTTGCAAGCAGGCTGTAAAAATGTGTATCGATTGTGCGGTAGTGCTAACCGAAGCAGATCGGACTCGCTCAGCTCTGCTCAAATTTATGCATATAACTCAATCACCCCTACCACCAATAAAACAGCTGCATAATTATGGTAACTAAGTCACGCACTCACTCTCTGAAATACAAATCAACCACCTCCCTTGAGACTGATATTAATATTGAACTTTTTTTTCCTTCTCTATTAAACAGCCTAAATGAGACGTCTTTCAGTTTAAGCGTAGTTCAAAAAAGTACCCTAGTTAGCATCCGTGCTTACTCAGCCATGCAGCTCACGAAATTAAAAATAGCCATAACTCTCTGTAAAGTGAGTTAAGGGTATTGACTCCCCCTCGCTGAGTATGATACTCTGGGAATTAAAATGGAAAATAAAGAGAGACAGTTTTGTGTTGTAAAAAAAACAAAATTGCGCACATGAATAAGAGACGGAGAGAAAACAATCAAGATAATGTTTAGTTAACCGCAGAGGTATTCTCAAAAAGCTCGATAATTTATTAAAATTAGGTCGCACATCACTTGAGCTAAAATCACCCTTGAAGCTATTCAACAACACGCTAAAAGAAATCATTTACAAAGAGAAAACCATACTTTTATATGCCGAAAAAATCTCAATAAAGATTATAAAAGAAAAAGCCGACGTGGTTAAAATTTTGACAACTGTGGTTATCTTCGGTCATCGGATTGACCTGAAATTCTGGCACTCGTAATTATCAAAATTCAGTTGTTATTGTCTACGGTCATCCATATAAAGTAGATTTTTTATTCTGTTTCATTATGATTTGTACAATTTCAAGATAAATCAGTACTCAAGATCTCCTTTTCGACAGCAGGGACAATTGTCAGATTTACCAGACAGAGGAAACGTTACTCCAACTTTTTATACTTTACTCCATAGTTAATCGAGGGGAATGGTTATGAAGGCCGGCGAACTTCGAAGGCGCATGTTATTGTTAAGATTTTCACTAGTCACGTGACATTGACCCTGCACATTCCAAATACAGTTGTTGTATAGAGAAGCGTGTGTTCGAAATATTTTAGTTTAAAACGTTGAAATTAAGCACCAAATGTAATTCCGATCGGTTTAAAACCGTTCTAGTGCATTATGCCCGGTGAGAATTGTTCGATTCTTGGTTGTGGGACCTGTAGAAGGTCGAAAGGCATGGGAATTTGGAAGCTTCCAAAGCCGAAGGACGAAGCGCACAAGAAATGGCGCGACGAATGGCTACAGCAAATCACTCGAACACGAGAGATCGATCATCATTTCAAAGATCTAATAGAGAAAGATCGTGTTTACACTTGAGAAAAGCATTTCAAGCCAGAAGATATCGAGATATGTAAGTAATAACAATGAAACTTTCTATTACAAACATGTACTCGCGCAAACAGTGTGTAGGGCTTACGGCGCGGCACTTCGGTCTTGTTGCAGTCGTAGATCTCGTGCTGATGTAGAAAATATGACGAAACATAGATTAAATATAAGTCCAATCTTTGTTTTATAGTTCGAAGTGAAAAGATGACGAAAAAGAAACCACGATTTGGAGCGATCCCGACAATTAATATGCCAAGAAAGAGCCACGAGACGCCGAAGCCATCACCAAGAGTTCCGATTACTCGTACTTGAAGTCACCAATGAATGCACTCAAGGGCCTCAAGGGCCTCAATCGTACTACAAAATTCTCACCGATTTCAATAGAAGACTTTCCAATATCAAATCTTTGAATCATTAGGAAAAGAGGATTCTTGAAGAAAAAGTTGTACTCAAAAAGATGGATGGTCAGTACGTCTTGCCCACGACTGAGATTATTGTGGCAGACAGTCTCACCTTTACAGTTAAAGTTTACGGCTGCTATTTACCCGAGGATCACCCAATATACATGAAATACCGTCGCTCTGAGAGAAACATAACAATCAGCCGCTTGGTTGATGAACTTGAAGGCTATATTATTTGTTGTGGTGTAGAGCTAAATGACTCAGACTGTAGTAAGCTACTGCACCATGTTATCCCAACATGCTCAGATTCAGGTGAGTCAGACTCGGAACAATTTCCACACAAAGGATATTGGAGGGCTAAAGGCTGCTTGATTTATGCCAGTGATTCAGTCTGTCCTGAATGTAAAGAGCATGCTGCTCAGAAGGCAAAGCCAAGACAAAGTGGCACTTTGAAGCCAGCTCATGTGAAAGCTCCTGTGTCTGTTACAGATCCAAGAAGAATTAAGCTCACTCTTCAAGAGCAGAGACTACGCTGCTCAGAGCTTGAACACCAGTTAGATGAGATGCGCAATGAGCTTAAAAAGTCTAGCATAAACACTGATCATGAACTGGGTAATGATTTTGCTAAACTCTTCAGTTCAGCTGACAAAGATGTTGCACCATTTATGAACCTCTTTTGGCAACAAAAACAACGAATGGCTACCTCAAGTAAATATGGAGTGCGATATCACCCAATGATCATTCGCTTTTGCCTGTCTTTGGCAGCAAAGT